TCTTTTTGAGTTAAACAAATCCGTTGTCGTCCAGCGGTTAGGATATCTGGCTTTCACCCAGGAGACCCGGGTTCGATTCCCGGCAACGGAACTTTTGTGTATTTAACACAATACGTTGAAATGAAGGAAAGCTTATTTATTGATATCCCCGATAAGCTACAAATATGTACATATACATGAGTCAAAATAAGCACACAAGAGGGAGCCTTCACAAAGGTTGCTTAGGAGAAGTCTCAGCAGTCGGTAGAGCCCCAGAAAGAGAAGGCACCGGAGGGGGATCATTTGGAGCCTCAGTACTGGACAGAACCCTAGAAGGAGGAGGCATCAGAGGTTGATCATTTGGAGCTTCATTACGCGGTACAGCCCCAGAAGACGAAGGCAATAAATGCCTTTGGAACAAACCCACAAATCTCTGATGATCAAGTAAAACCTGGCCATCAGTTTCCTTCATCTGGTCAAGCTTCCTCTTCATGTTTGTAGCATAGTCATGTGCGAGCCGGTGCAACTGTTTTATTCTCATGCTTGAGCCCTCTAATCTCCTGTTTGAGACCATCACTTCAGCCGCCAATGATTCAACTTGGCGGGTTCGAGCAAATAGGCGTTGGGCCATATTAGACACAGAACCTGCACACTGAACACTGAGAGCCAGCGAATCCTTAACAGCTAACTCATCAGACCGTTTGGAAAGTAGTCTGTTATCTTTGGGAGTGAGAAGGTTCCTGGCCACCACCGCAGCGGTCATATCATTCTTCATCACGGAATCCCCAACGGTAAGAGGACCAGTAGGGGAGACGAAGGATGGGCGCCATATATGTTGTCTGGAGAAGGCGGGGCTGCCTCTTCAACAAGGTTCAAGTCAAAACGACGGTCGGAGGGGCCAGACATTTTCAAAGGTGTTGAAGAGAGAAGAGGTCGGACAAATCAAGATCTTAGAAGTGCAAGAATGAAGCTTCTACTGGTGGAGATTCAAGTGTGCTTTGGAACTTAATGCCAGCCCCTATAAAAATCTGCACTCGACGAAGCTTCAGAAATCGAAGAGGCGCCTGCTCAGAAATCGAAGAGGCGTTTGCTTTCTCAAAAAGCTGGGCTGCTTAGAGATCACGAGGGTTGATCTCAGAAATCGAAGAGGCGTTTGCTTTCTCAAAAGTTGGGCTGCTCAAAGACCACGAAGGCCGATCTCAAAAATCGAAGAGGCGCTCGCTTTCTCAAAAGCTGGGCTCCCCAGAGACCACGAGGGCCGATCTCAGAAATCGAAGAGGCACCTACTTTTCCAGCCTTTTCCAGCCTTGTCAGCACCTGTCACACGCACACTCAGTTTTGCGGAAATTATGGGCATTCTGTTAAAGACTTCTGGGGAAGTAGAAAACACATGAATCTTACTGTTCAATCACCCACTTCCCACACGCAACAATAGCTCATGGGTACCACAGATAACTTTGCCAAAGTTCTCTGCCAAAGTTGAGCACGTGAAGCTTGCAGCTCCCACTACATCGCTCTGACCAAGAAAGGTAAAAGAATAGCAAAGAAACAGCACTAACAAAGTTTAGACCCATAAATTTTGAAGGTCTAGCTACCATATTATTACCCACAAGGGTAAAGGAACAGTACCACTGCTGGATAATTGGAAAGTCCCTGTGTGTCAACCTCTGTGCTTCGTGGCAAGGTAGACTAGCAAACATGCCCAACCTTTACTCACATTCGAGAAAACACTCCCAATAAGATTGCTTGCTCCAAAATCGAAGAGGCACCGTCCTCCGAATCTCAAGAGCCAGACTCCCAACATGACTACTTTCTTAAAAATCGAAGAGAGGGTAAAGGAACAGTACCATTGCTGGATAATTGGAAAGTCCCTGTGTGTCAACCTCTGTGCTTCGTGGCAAGGTAGACTAGCAAACATGCCCAACCTTTACTCACATTCGAGAAAACACTCCCAACAAGATTGCTTGCTCCAAAATCGAAGAGGCACCGCCCTCCGAATCTCGAGAGCCAGACTCCCAACATGATTACTTTCTCAAAAATCGAAGAGACACTGCTCCCCGAATCTCTCGAGAGCCAGACCCCCAGCATGATTGCTTGCTCAAAAATCGATGAGGCATCGTTCTCCGAATCAATCGAAGAGGCGCTCGCTTTCTCAAAAGCTGGGCTGCTCAGAGACCACGAGGGCCGATCTCAGAAATCGAAGAGGCACCTACTTTTCTAGCCTTGTCAGCACCTGTCACACGCACACTCAGCTTTGCAGAAATTATGGGCATTCTGTCGAAGACTTCTGGTGAAGTAGAAAGCACACATGAATCTTACTGTTCAATCACCCATTTCCCACACGCAACAATAGCTCATGGGTACCACAAATAACTTTGCCAAAGTTCTCTGCCAAAGTTGAGCACGTGAAGCTTGCAGCTCCCACTACATCGCTCTGACCAAGAAAGGTAAAAGAATAGCAAAGAAACAGCACTAACAAAAGTTTAGACACATAAATTTTGAAGGTCTAGCTACCATATTATTACCCACAACTGTAAAGGAACAGTACCACTGCTGGATAATTGGAAAGTCCCTGTGTGTCAACCTCTGTGCTTCGTGGCAAGGTAGACTAGCAAACATGCCCAACCTTTACTCACATTCGAGAAAAACACTCCCAATAAGATTGCTTGCCCCAAAATCGAAGAGGCACCGTCCTCCGAATCTCGAGAGAGCCAGACTCCCAACATGACTACTTTCTCAAAATCGAAGAGAGGGTAAAGGAACAGTACCATTGCTGGATAATTGGAAAGTCCCTATGTGTCAACCTTTGTGCTTCGTGGCAAGGTAGACTAGCAAACATGCCCAACCTTTACTCACATTCGAGACAACACTCCCAACAAGATTGCTTGCTCCAAAATCAAAGAGGCACCGCCCTCCGAATCTCGAGAGCCAGACTCCCAACATGATTACTTCCTCAAAAATCGAAGAGACACTGCTCTCCGAATCTCGAGAGTCATACCCCCAGCATGATTGCTTTCTCAAAAATCGAAGAGGCATCGTTCTCCGAATCTCGAGAGCCAGATACCACAGACCACTTTTTCAAAGTGCTCTGACAGAGTTAAAACATGTGAAACTGGCAGCTCCCACTACCGTGCTATGACCAAGCAGGGTAAAGGAATAGCATTACTACTTGTTGTTAGGGAGACTCCTATATATGTCGACCTCCATCCCCAACGGACAGGCAGACCTGCAAAAATGCTCAACCCTTCATCATATCTGAGAGGGCACTTCCAACGAAGCCTTTCGAAATATTCAGCTTTCTTTCCCCCCGATAATACCTCTGCAAACAAGCTATACTAGAGCAAGAATATCTCATATCATCAGGGTTAAAAGCAAGAGTATCCCATATCATGCTTTTTCCCTGTCTTTTCTTTTGGCCTTGTTTTTACCTGCAAGACAAGGAGAAAGAGAGCAATCAGTCAGCACTTGGAATCAAGCTTCCAGCCAGGAACTGACTGCCTGGAACCCCTTACCTGATTACTTACCTGGCATTGCTCTCGAGTACTCATCTTCAACATCTCATGTTTCCAGGGAAGATTCCGCATCTGCTTGAGGAACAGATAGGGCAAGTGCGAAGGATACAAGGAAGCATGTGGAGACAAGCGTAACAGCACACGTGCCGATACATTCATTACTCTCTGTCAAAAGCAAAAGTATCCCATATCAGCAGGGTGGAACGTACTCTAGATTTGATGGACTTGTTTTGACCCTCAAATTCTTCAGTCGGCCTTATACTCTGGAGGAAACCAGAAAACCCTCCAGCTCAGTTCAAGAATAAGCCTGTGGAAAGTTACTTCTTCAAAAGCAAAAGTATCTCATATCATCTCTTCTCATTTTTCTTCTCTTTATCCTTCATGCTGCTGCAAGATGGGGAGAAGGTGAACAATCAGTCGGAGCTCTGATTGCTTACCTTGTCTGTCACCTCTTTCAGCAGACCCCCTAGCTCGGCGACTTGGGGGACTCCTACTACATGGTTTGTATCGCGCTTGACCAAGCCTGAAACTACAAGTAAGCTTCAAGTGAAATTGATACATTACCTTGTGCATCTCCACCAGTTAAAGATACCACCCCTGGATGGAGGAAGAGTACTTCCAGAGAAGATGCCACATCTACCTATGAGACAGATAAGGCAAGTCAAGACGACACCACACTCTCCGATACTTAGAAGTTTCGTGATTACGAGATCATTCTCCCACAATATTTCCTAATGTCATTTGTACTAAATCATTCACTTGTACTCACTAAATGAGAGCTTGAACCTATGTACTTGTGTAAACCCTTCACAATTAATGAGAACTCTTCTATTCCGTGGACGTAGCCAATCTGGGTGAACCACGTACATCTTGTGTTTGCTTTCCTATCTCTATCCATTTATATACTTATCCACACTAATGACCGGAGCAATCTAGCGAAGATCACAAAAAGCGATCGTTTTCGCTACCTAGGATCTATCTTGCAAGAGAACGGAGAATTAGATGGAGATCTCAACCATAGAATACGAGCTGGATGGAAAGAGTGCATCCGGCGTGTTGTGTGACCGTCGTAGGCCACTGAAGCTCAAGGGAAAATTTTATAGGACGGCAATAAGGCTAGCGATGTTGTATGGACACAGAATGTTGGGTGGTGAAGCATCAACACGTACACAAAATGGGTGTAGCGGAGATGAGGGTGCTTCGTGGGATGTGTGGGCACACGAGAAAGGATAAGATTGGGAATGAGGATATCCGAGGTAAAGTAGGAGTAGCCGAAATTGTAGGAAATATGAGAGAAAATCGGCTCCGGTGATTTTGAACATGTGCAAAGAAGGCCGACTGACGCTCCGGTTCGAAGATGTGACTACGGGACAGAGGTTCAGGGCCGAAGGGGTAGAGGAAGACCTAGGACAACTTTGGAAGAGACTCTAAGAAAAGACTTAGAGTACTTGGATCTAACGGAGGACATGACACAAAACCGAGCGCAATGGCGTTCTAGGATTCATATAGCCGACCCCACTTAGTGGGAAAAGGCTTTGTTGTTGTTGTTGTTGTTGTTATTTCTTTTTGAGTTAGAAGCATGTGTCTGTCTGATTTCAGGTGAGGGATGAACTCGAACATTTGTTGGATGACAATGAAGATATGGCACATTTATATTTAACAATGAAATGGATGCAGAATCAACAGCCTGAGGCTTTGTTGGGGCGTTCTGCTTCAAATAGCATCTCTGCACCCTATTTACGTCGGCTTAGTTCCAACAGAAGTGGGAGCTTGGTAAACAGTAACAATATGGATTACGATGACGTAGAAGATCTAGAGATGCTGCTTGAGGCATATTTTATGCAACTGGATGGAACCCGTAACAAAATATTATCTGTGAGTGCTAATTGTTATGATCTACTATAACCACTTTATACTAAAGAAATTGACTATTAAGTTCAGTTTACACAAAAACTTCTTAAAGGATCTCGTCCTGGAGAACTTAACCTTTTACAAAACAATATTAAATATCATTTTTCACCGTTAGCTTGCGTTTTAATGCAGGTACATCAACTTTGATTCAGTTCCAGATAACGAATTTTAGGTTAGATTTCTAAATGTTGCTTATTTTCTGTGCGAAGTTCTGTGGTTGCACTTGCTCCTGGAATAATTTGGAGGCTTTGGAGACCTCTTGTGGGTTTCCAGTTGGAACTAATTTCGCTATCATTGGTACATCCATGTTACATCTATGTTGCAAGTGTGCAACTTCAAGTGCATCCATACAATTATACACAAATGCATAAAACTTACATGCAAGCACATCACATTAATATACTACAAGTGTGCAACTTCCTTGGGACTGCTTATCTCTTCTTAGCGAATATCATTCTTTGGTGTGCAAGGGAAAGAAGGCCAGGGTGATGTGGCGTTACCTGGTCTTGGTGGTGATATGGGTGGTTTGGATGGAGAGAAACAGGAGAATTCTTAAGCTGACGATGGATTGTGTTTTGAGGAGCTTTGGGACAGAATTTGTTTTCAGTAAGCGCTTCGGGGCACCAGGATCCTCGCCGGATCCATTCTCTAGGGATCCTGTGATCCTGTCCGTTCATCGTATATCGTGCTGTCCGTTTTTGTTAGTTACTATTTACATCTGAATTTTAAATTTTAAATTTTAAATGATTTATGACCGCACGATATACGATCAACGGACAAGATTGCGGGATCCCTAGGGAATGGATCCGACGAGGATCCTGGTCCCGCTTCGGGCTTTTGTTTCCTCGGAGTTCAGAGATACCCCTTTATCCCTAATTTGGATTGATTGGAAGGCTGCAAAAAACAAAAAAACAAAAAAAAATTAAAGAAATGTTTCCAAAATCATGGCAAAAATTGACTGTAGAAGATCAAACAACAAATGTAAATAGTAGTATTTAGATCAATAAAAAATGGAATGCATGAAGGAATTATCTTAAATTCAGAGGCTCGAATTCAATAAGCCGAAAGAACAAAAATGCAGCTGGATCAAAGTTTGTTCTGTTGCATAAACCAAACAGATTCTAGTTCCAACTCAAATTTTCCAACAGAGTGGAGCTCAAGAAACCAAAACCTTCTTTCAATGGCAAGGTATCAAAAGCCTTCTTTTTCACTCATAAAGCTTTAACCACCACCTCAAATTCTCCAAAAAAAACCCAAATCCATTTCCAAGTTCAAATATACACTAAAAACAGAATATTTTATAGATAACTCGCATACTGGGGAGGTCGAAGAGAGCATCTAAACCGAATTCTTTTTAAGTTGCAGCCCCTTTTAAGTCTTCAAACTATTTTCCTTGAGTTGCATATTCACCAAGGCTGCACTGCATCCATCAGTGTTCTAGTCTCCTGTAAAAGCAACATATGAGTTTTCCTAACTTCAAAAATACAACCAACAGAGTCAAAAGTCTTGATATGCATTATGAGAAGAAACCATCATTGAATCTGTGTGCAATATATGCATTTGTGGGTGTTTAGTGTTTATCCGAGTCCACCATTGTTTGTGCTATGAGTATTTAGGAGTGCGAGTGCGTGTGTGTACTTGTCGCCAAAAAAATTAAGATTTTACTTTTAGTCGATCAATCAAAATTCATCCAAATACCACTTGGTTTTGGGAATCCTAGTATTCTCCCAATGTTTAAGATTTAATATTCATTTTTTATCAGCTTAAAGATTTTTTCTATCAATTGATCATTGGTCCAACGAAACTCCACATTCGTTGCAACCCCAAAGGTAAAATACCCCTCCTGGCGTAATACCAACACACTAATAAACATGGTATTAAAATATGTGTCTCAATACATCATATTTGCTACTGCCATTGATAGGGAGATTAATAACAGACCTCTCGCAATGTTATCGTGTCATAGTAATAATTTATTTACTTCTTTTATTGTAACCAAACCTATACCAGTGCATATGCTTCCTAGGAGGTTCAACGTGAGAGCTTGATAAATTGATGAAAAGGATTGGAACAAAAGTAATTTTAGTGCCTTCTTCTTCATTGTGGCTACCGACGAATCTTCGCGATTTCCATTTAGGAGGAAGATATGTAGAGCTTTGGATTTTATTGATGCTCGGGTGTTCTCACCACCTTCTTGCCTCAAATTGGCCTTGTTGCCTCTGTTGCTCGTGGGTTGTTTCCTGCGAGCTTCCTTCAATTCGTGGTGCCGATCTTCGATATGCTCTTTGGAGGTTGTTGATGTTTTCTTTTTATCCACTTTGGGGGCTCAATTTGGCATGATTTCAGGCAACTAGTTCGAGTTTGGTGGTCCTTTGATGGCAGCAGCGGCAGAGGATGTAGGCTGCTTAGGTTTTTTTTGTTTTTTGTTGGGCTTGATTTCGTTGTACTTTGGAGGTTCATACTTTTGTTGTTGTGTTTGTATTGTGTGGGCCTCTTTCTTATAAATGTGTATTGTTGTTAATAAAAAAGCAGCCCATTGACAAAATAAATAAAATAATAATAATATTTTAAAATAGAGATTACAAATTGATATACACGTAGTAAAAGAATCAGTGTCAATTTCTCCATGTTATAGCCATTCCACATAACAAATCGTCGGCAAACAAAATCAGTTTTAGTTTTTTGAATTAAAGAAAAAGCCAAAAAACATTTTAGAGAGTCCATTAGCAAGTCAAAATCATAATAGCCATAGCAGACAAACCCAGAAAAAAGATAGAAACAAATAAAATCATTCAGATTTTATATACGGTTGGTTTCTCAAGTAGTGTTTACATATTCATTCAGATTATGCATGTATTAGGGCGTTTTAAGCAGAACGGTAGTATAGTATTCAGAATTTATATTCAAATGAACTTCTTACTATTCTACTTAAAACACCATCTACTCAAAACTAAGTGAAAATTGCATCATTTTTATAAAACATTGAAAAACATATGAACTCATGCCCAACTTTGATTAATTTGACATTAATAGTTGGCCAATTCAACATTCAGAGTTGATAGAAGAGTATATAACAACATTGGAAAACATATGAACATGTCCACCTATTATCATATCCGACATTGCAGTTGATTAATCTCACATAAATTCACATCAAAAGAACCATAAATTTGATGAAGGATTGTCAAAAAACCCACAATTTAAACGAAAAAAAACCCACAAATTTAAACCAAAAATTCTATAAAATCATGAGAAGTTTAATAAAGTCCAATTATATTAATCACAAATTTGATCATACAAATCTTCACATCCGATAAGTTTAGAAGGTACATCGTATCTCTACAAGCCAAGGCTCAAATTTCCTTGCTGCCGCCTTCATTCGATGAGTTCTGATTCAAGCAGTCACATACATCATAATAAGTTGATGTATTCAATGGGAATGAACTTATCAGAAATTATGAAACCAATTGAACACGTATAATGTAATGTCCGCAATTAAATAATGAGCATGAAAAAATGACTAACAGGGCAACACAAACTGCTCAACTTATGAATTAAAGCATCCAATATTTAGAAAATAATTGAGAATTTTCATGGTCAAATTAATAAGGAAAATTATGATTAAAGAAACTCGATTGTTTCAACTGCTAATTCTGACCAAGCACCAGTAGTTCAACATATTGCTTATGATGAAAATTATTATATATCAGTGGTGCAAATTAGCAAGGTAATAATGCCTTCAAATTTAAATTCACCAATTTCATAACCTTCTCCATCAGTACCTTCACCTTCTCTGTCAATAGCTTCACCTTCTTTGTCAATAACTTCACCTTGTTCGTCAGTACCTCACCTTCTCCACCCCCTCCTCCTTCATCACCTACTTCATCAACTCTCAATATCACCAAAATTCTAAGGGGGGGTGTATTCAATTGGGAATTTGAGAGATTTTAATGAATTTATAAATCCATGGATTTTTATGGACTCTAATTGATTTGTAGAGATTCCATGTAAAATTTTGATTCAATTCCCTCAAAATCTCTTGGGGAGAGGTGAGATTTATGCTTAAAATACACTACAAAATCTCTCCAATTTCCTCTAATTCCTCATCTTTTTCAAATTCTTTAAAATCAAATTCTAATTGAATACACTTGGAATGTTATAAACTTATTTAAAATTTTAATTAAATACACCCGGATTTCTAAGGATTTTAATAAACTATCTAAAATCCTGATTGAATACACATTGAATTTCAAATAATCACTTAAATTCCTGATTGAATACCCTTAGATTCATTAAAAGAATTAAAATCCATCAAAATCCCAATTGATACCCCCTACACGACTATCCAGATTTTATACTAATTTTTTTATTTGCCCTGAAATAGGAAAAAAACCAAAACAGTGATCTGTTTTCTCAAGCATATATGCTTGCTGAGACATCTTTTTTTAATTTTTTTTTTGTGACTTGTTGAAGGTCCTGATCATTTGTAATCGTTGAGGACAACTTATATTGCACGCTACAATTGTTGCTAAGAATATGTCCTAGTACTTTAAGTATCATAATACAATTTTTAAAAATATTTTATTTTAAGTTTTTAACTAATTGTATCATAACACTAGTTTGCATATTATGTGGCCTCATATGCTAATAAAAGGATTTGGATCCTCTCCTGAGCCTAAAGAGAGGATCCTCCTGATCAAGAAGTGTGAGCCGTTGGATGAAAATCCAATAGTTATAATTATTATAACTTTAAAATGACTCCCTTATTTGTAGCCATTTATACCACGTAATATGCAAACTAGTGTTATGAAGGGGAAGAAGGACGGAGGAGCCAGGCTTTGGATGCGGTTTGACCACTTTGGGGGCTCAAATCTCATCGAGTGTGACAAGAACGCTATTATTCGACGCGCTGCCATTCCCGCCCGGGACTTGAGGATTCTCGAGCCGGTCATCTCCCATTCCTCCAGCATCCTTGGTACTCGTCCTCCTCCCCTTTTTTTTATTTTATTTTGTCAATTATCTTACTTTATATGTGAATTCTCTTCTGGATCAAGGTATGCTCTTCAATCAAATATTAGAAATACTGACCCACAGAATTCTTGTTTGGGTTTCTTAAGCCCACTAAGAACAAGTCTACTGGATGGTGGAAGGCAAGGGCAAGGGCCCAAAAGATGCCCTTTGTGAAGTTTCAGATTCTCATTAACGTTAGGGTAAACTTTACAAGGCTTTATATACTAAGGTCATCTCCAATAGAGGGCTAGTCAGAGGGCTCGTTTTAGCCATCTGGCCCTCCAAGATATTAATATTTTAATGAACAGTACATGGTCATATTTGCATACATCTCCAATCGAGGGCCAAAGGGTCATAGGGCTCATTTTAACCCTGTCACAAAAAACCGTCTCCAACCGAGGGTCAAAGGGCCAAACA